AACCGTTTTAAAGGGAGAACAAGATTAGTACACATACAGGTATATTGCTATTAACTAATAAATTTTAAATTTTTCGCTATCAGTACAAAGATAACGGCTATAAAAAATAGTATTAAATTTATGTGTATCCTGTTCATTTGATTACGAGAACGTGTGAAACTTAAAACCCGTGCCAGCTCGACTGTTGAATACACTGTAACAACGCTTTTCCCTAATACAGCCATTAAAATGTGGACAGTATTGACGAAATTCAGTAGCTGGGAGAGGGTGGAAAATAAGAAATAAGAAAAAATTGTGTTGACTAGAGTCAAGGAGCGTTTACATATCAAGTTTGGTTAAAGTGGGCTCAGTGGTTTCCGAAATCCAGGCGTTCGTCCAGACGGACGGGCAAACGGACAGTCATGCTGATTAAGAATACTTGTATATATACTTTATGGAGTCGGAGATGCTTCCTTCTGCCTGTTACATACTTTCCACAAACCTAATATACCCTTTTTACCCGACGGGTAAAGGGTATACAAAAAAAGGTTGTCTAACCCATAATACTAATAATACAAAATAATATGAAAGTCTGTCGCACTTTATCTGGCCCGGTTGCGTTTGAGTTTGGCACTCTTTAGGAAAACACGATTGTTGCCGGAAAGTAATCTTTTTTCCGAAATTTCCGAATTAATTTAAATATTTAAACTTAAAATTTTGTCATAAATTATTGATTTGCAACATAAGGCTCATATCTGAGTTGCAGAATGGATTCAATCATATTTTATTACTATATAAGTGTTCGAAAAAAAAACCTAAACCGATGAAATATTCTTCATTTAGATTAATGTTGTAATATTGTTGTACCAGTTGCTAAATGCTATTACTGGCACTCCCCCAAGATATGCCAATGCTGGCTAGTTCCAAAGGAACTTTAATTTAGTCGCATGTAAGTATACATAGATCGGTGGATGTAGATCGGTCTGATTAATTCAAATTGCGAATTCTTATTCTAGGTATTTCTGCCAATAAACAAACAACTCACGCTCTGATAGCATCTGTTTTGCGTCAAGTAAAAGGCTTTTAATTATTTATAGAATTTTAGTTATTTTTTATAAACATGACTCTCTGATGTTTCAGACTCGTTACATGATAACAAATTGTCAGTTTCTCTGTCCAAAGTTTAGTTTCTGTATTTATTTGTATGGATCATTATTCAATGTCATAAAAGATTCTAGTACTAAAGTGCATTTTTCTAAGACACAGAATTTTAATAGATGAGCGGTCTTAAGTTCATTATCTTTCATTTAGAACTTGTTTTAGAAGTTTGAGGAAAACTAAAATGTATAACAAATTAAAGCTAATTTGTGCAATTTACACATTAATGTAGAGTCTCTATTAGCATGATTAAAGTATGTCTATTTAAATCTAACCGAGTTAAGTGTTTGAGGATCATGTTTGTCATATTTATTTTTCTAAATTGTCCCGTCATTCACATTCGAACTTTCTAAATGGAATCTACAATTACTTTATTTCTAGTAAACTCTCCACACCAATGCCAAGGTCAGCTGGTTATGTTTGTAATTTGAAAAAAAAAAAAAACAATTTTTTTTACAATCATATATAGTAAGTATTAGTACGTCTACCGATTATTGTATTATGTAATTGTTGACCTAGCCAGTTGAAAGTTGTTTGCATTTCCACTTGAATTGCAGCCGTTGGGCTTTAAATGCAAGCCCCTCTGCTATATGTTTTGTTATTTGAAGGATTTATGAGCGATATGTTTGATACTTTTGTATTAAGGGGCTTAGAGCACTTTGAAACTTAATTACACTGCAAACGGGTGAATAAAATACAACACAGCAGAAAACGAAACAAACAATACCAACAATAATGTAAACACAGTTTAAAAACAGTTTTTTTCTGTTGTTAACGCTTCACTGCTTTCATCGCACATGCGGCACAAAGTGCCATGGAAACCAATTCTGCGATTTAACAACAGCGGCAACAGCAAAAACACACAACTCCAATTAGACTACCGCCATGTCAGCAGAGGTCTGAGCTAATAAATCCAGAAAAAAATATTCCCCACTTCACAGTTCGTAATCCCACACCTAAAAAAAACAAAAAAAAGTCAGCCAACATTTACAAATATGGGCAATACTGGTTCACAAAAAATATTCTCCCTCCTGTTGTCCGAGTGAACACATTCAATTTTTTTACAAATTTAAGATTGTCTCTTAAAATGAAGTAGTTTCATTTTCCATTTAGTGTTTTTAAGTAACACGGATTCCGATTTTTCCAAACGTTGTCTTTTTTTTGCCCTAATAAACAGTTAACTTTTGCAGCAAAATCAACGACCAATTTTCAACTTCATATTTCTAAAGTTCGGATCCTAATTCCTTAATTCCAGTATATCTTACTTCAAACTATGTGACTGAATCCTTTCTGGTCACCGTGACAAAGGAACAGCAAAGGAAATTGAACATTTATGGGTTAAAGAAAATCATAAATCTAAGAATTAAACGATCTATGTTCGTTGCATATCGGTTTCAATTCAATTCCTATCGCGCTCAAGTTGATTATTAAATTTTTATAAAGGCTTAGGTCAGGCCGACGTCGATCCCATATTAGTTTCATATTTAATTGCAGTCCAATGGAACTGCAATTCAGAACTTGTCATCGAGTCCATTCACCTCAGCGCTCATTCCAACAAACTCGGTGATAAATATTTGCTTGTTTATTTGACAACAAATACAAATATTTTTCTTCGAGTGTATGCATTCATGTAACTAATATGTATGTCGGCGTTATTTCTTGTACCATTATTTTCGCAATTTTATTTAGATAAGCAAGTGCACGAATCATGAACAACAAAAAGAACAATCAATTATTCGTCAACTGATTTAAAAATAGCTCTGCTTATTGGGTTTCAATTTCAAAGAAATCTCCGTGCACTTGTCGAGAATTTCAATATTTGTTTACAAATACAAACACGTTGTATATATGGAGAGGGGTGCTTTAAAAGTAGTCATCATTTGCTCACTCGACCACAGTTTCAATAAATTGCAGGTACTGCACATTCCTCGAACACCAGCCAAAGGAATAATAAATAAAGAGCTAAAGTTGGGAGTAAATAAATAACATAATGTAACAACAACAAGAATAACAGCAAAAACAAACTTTGGGAGTCTTAATACTTTGTTGGCTAAAATTTCAATAAAAAAAAGAACAAAAAGAAAGATAAACAAATTGTAGTTTCCCATTGTAAAAACATAAGCACAACGCATTGTGTGCTTTTCAGGCAGGCATATGCACAGATATATAAGCATATACGAGTATATGTGCATACATATGTATGTGCGTAACAGATGACTAAAATTTGGGGGGAGTATCGGAAAGAGATGGGGGCCGGCCACAAGCAAATTATCGAACCATTACTCACCCACCAGGGTGTGAGTGTCACATACGAAAGTTGAGCGAGACGTAGACTCTCTTGGCTGTCGAAATGGTGCGACTAGGCTATAGGCTATAGTCGTATAGTTATAGACAGCAAAAACAAGAATAAAAACAGCCACAACAACAATATCAAGGCCACACGTGCGCGATTTGCAAGTTGGATTGGTAAAATGTTTGGCCTTTGGAGGTCGTGGAAGGGCTGGAGTCGCTTTTGGGTTCAGGCAAAACAAATTCACGCTGCGAACTGATAACGACAACAACAACAAAAAAGGTGGCTGAGAAAATTGTAGCCGGCAGCACAACACAACACAAAGGAGCCGTTGTCTTTTTTGTTGTTGGTTTTACAAATTTGCATAAAATGTGGAGATGAGTGCTGACTGATGGGGAACGTAAAATTCAACTTGAAATTGTGTTAACTTTGATTTGGAAACAAAATAAATTTGTTTATGCTTTTTGCAGGCATAAAAAAGAAGGGAAACTGGTTTCGATGGTTTCGGCACTTGTTAGAAATTTGGTCGTTAAATATGATAAGATAAGTTAATTTAGATATGTAGAGTGGTCTATTCCAGGATAATATCAAGCCTTAATAGAGATTTTCATTGGATAAAAGAAACGTTGAATTTCTATAATAAACATTCACAATTCTTAGAGTAAAATTTATACTTTACAAATTCATTCAGATTTGATAACCAGTCTTATAGACTGGCCTCAAAATAAAATTTATTAAAAATTATCATTAAAATATTTTATCAATTCTTTAATTGCAAATAAATTTAGCACTATCAGTTCTTCTTATTATTAATATATGCGGCAATATTTCTGAAGTTTTGTTGATAAAATTATAATATACAAAATTATTAGTCTCTGGCATTTTAATTTTGTATTATTCATTTGGATACTCCATATGTAAAATATCCTCTCCATTCTACTCTGCCTGAAATATTTGATGCGAAGGAGCTTCAACTCTATGTATAACTGATTTGTAATGATTTGATTTACATGTTTTCACCAGTTTCCCGATATCAGGTAAATATTGAGAAATGAATTGCAAACATCTATCTACATACATATATTACGATTCGAACATTTTCAAAAGTCTGAAGAAAGGTTACGAAATCTGCAATTTATACTTTTGGCTGCTGACAATCAAAGACGAAACGTCTTGTGTTATGGCTGTGGGCAGCCACCATTTCTGGCCAAGTTTCCATCAAATGCGAGTAGTGTCTATTTATTTTTGTGAATTATTTGTTTTTAGCATTTCGCGCATCATCGCGCATTTGACAATAAGCGCAGGGAAACATTTACTTTTCATGTTTCGCATTTTAAGTAAAATAAACGTTTGACTTTTTTTTGTGTTCTTGGCACTTGAACTTGGCCCGTGCACGAAATAATTTGAAAATGTGTTTTGAAAAATTCAGTATGGGGAAAAGTTTTGGGGAAAAGTCGCATCAGCGTCATAGACATGGTAGGCAACAAAATTTCACTTTAACGATCGCACAAAAATAGCCAAAAATAACAACAATTATTGTGGCAACAGATATGAAAAATATGTAGCTTATTACCTTTTTTGTAGATGGATTAAATTCAGTTTTTGTTGAAATTTTTGTTGCCTGTTAATTGTTTAATACTCCGGGAGCGTAACATAAGCTATAGTTGAGGTTCTTCTTGTTTTACAAAATTTTCCACTGTGCCAGAGGGCAAAATTTCATTGATTAGTGATCGTTGGCGGCTCCAGCGAAAAGCACAACAACAGCAACAATAAGAGCAGAAGAGAACAGCACAGAACAGAACGGAACGACATGAGAGAGACGCGGCAGGGTTGGCGAGAGAGGGAACGGTGACAGGCACAAAAAGAACGCGACGATAAAAACAACAACAAACTGCGTGACGACGAAGGCACAAAACTGATACAAAACACTGGCGGCGTTTGTTGCGTTTATACGTAAGTACGAGTATATCTTACAAATGGTATATACGAGTATGTATATATGTACATAGGTCTCTATGTATAAATTGCTATGTATTTTTGTTGTACTTTTTTTACGACTTTGTCTTGGATATTTTGCGCGCGGCGTTTGACAAACTTGAACTTGTTCTTTTTATTTTATATATGGTTGTTTTTTTTTTGGGCGCTCGTGCGTCTGTGTGCGTGCGTGAGTGTTGTTGGCTGCAGCACGTTTCTGAGCGCAATGATTTACAGTTCCTGCGGCCAGCACGTTTTTAAACGAAAACACTCAGTTGAAACGAGCGGAAAGTCGAAACAAGAGAGCAACAGCGTGGCAAATAGCGGCTGACGCATGCGCATACATACAAATATATGTATGCATGTGTGTATATATGTATATGTGTGTGTGCGTGTGTTGGCGAGAGGGTTGCTCGATCGGCTAACTGGCTGCCTGTCAGATTGTCTCGTTGGCTGTTTACAATGCTGGGTGTTCGCCAAATGCCACATGTGGTTGTTGTTGTTCTTCTACATATGTATGTTGTCAGTTCGTGGTAGCAGTGCCGCCAGTTCTTGAGCGACAAAAAAAGTTGGATAACGCTTTTAGATCTAAACTCACGTTTGTTTCTTTAGGGCATAAAGAATTTTAGTAAACACTATAAATCCTGGCAGTCCTAGAACTGACGGGAAAAGGCTAAATTGACAACACTGCCTCACAGTGAAGTATTCCATGAGAGAGCCTTAACGAGGAACAGAGAGAGAGAAAGAGAGCTCAGGCAAAAAATTAACGCACACAATCAGGCAAGTGCAGTTGGATTAACCCATGTGCGTCCCAAATCAATTAGCACCTGTGCACCCCAACATAATAACTGAACTTGACAATTTTGCCTGCGCCCTACACACAATCATTTTATTCACCATATCCATTATACTATATGCATATGTAGGGTTTTTTTTATCTATTTATAAGGCGCAAAGCACGCTTGTTCGGCTAAATATAACAGTGTTATTTGCTTGCGATTTGCACAACAATTGACACATTCCACGTATTGCAAATTTGATTAAACGCTCTAATTGCTCGATTTGCTTTCGCGTCGCACCGAAATATTAATTACTTTTTTCCATATCACCATCATCACTTTTCCAACGTCTACATGTCGAATTATTTTGAATTGCTGCGTTACTCAAGAACAAATTTATGACAAATAATTGATAATAATAATGATTAAGCACGGTCGACTGTTGTTGGATGGGTGTGGGTGTATTTATTGGAAGGTGGGGTGGAAAGTACGCATGTTGTGTGGTGATAAGCCACTGAACATTTAGCAACGCCTGTCATAAAATAATTCATTTTGAAACTTGGGTTATAGAGCAAGCATGTACGAGTATGTAAATATGTTTCGCATTAAAGTTCCAAAGTTGAAGTGTACGTTTACGTCATGACAGCCACACGGGCTTAATGACGTCAAATCGTAATTATTTAGACCCAAATTTAAAAAAAAAAACAATTATGGACTATTGATTGTAACAATTTATAGAGTACTGCTAATTTTACTACAAATTTTGCCATTATTTAAAAATGAGGTGTGAAATACTAGCGCGATATTTTAAGCACGCACGCTAATTAGTGTGAGATACGAATTTTCAAAGGAAAATTTATGGAAATAAGCTTGGCACAGATCTCCCAGTTGAAATGGCAAACACAGCCAAATGATAAGTATTAGATTATATCAAGTATGGTATTTACAAGGTACTCGTGCCTTTTCAAACAATTAAAAACCAATTATTTGATAACAGAGAAGCAAAAACAAGAGAGAACGCTACAGTCGAGCAAGACCGACAGTGTAATACCCTGTACCCAGGTAAACTTCCGTCACTGTGTTATATGCGCCCATAGCAGCAGCAAAAAGAGGAAGAAGAAGAGCGAACTTGTTGCTGCAGTTTGGGGGGGTTGTACTGGGGAGAATTTGTTTTGCTAATAACTTTTCTTAGAATCGACCGAATTGAATACAATTTTATACAACAGTAGACAATTATATATTAATTATGTGTGCAAAGTTTGGTTTAGGTAGCATTTGAAATGTGGACGCTATTGACGCTATTCTGTAGCGTGGGAAGGGGGGGAAATTAAAAAAAAAACATAAACTCGTCCTTACTCGGACCTAGGAGAATCTGGATGCCAACTTTGGTTATTCTAGCTTTTATAGTTTCTGAGATCCTTGCGTTCATCCAGACGGACAGACGGACGGACATGTCTAGATCGATTTCTCTCGTCATGCTGATCAAGAATATATATACTTTATGGGGTCGGAGATGCTTCCTTCTGCATGTTACATACTTTGCACAAACCTAATATACCCTTTTTACCCTACGGGTACAGGGTATAAAAAACAAAGTATAGTAATTAGTTGTTGGGGTTCAATCGCACGCCCACCCTCTAAGGGTTAATAATTGCGTCAGCCCAAAAGTATGCAACAAATTTGTGTGCAGCGCCTCTAAAAATCACTTGGCCTTGTGTTAGGTCATGATGATAACAGAAATCAAAAGTCAACAATAAACAACACGGAAGCGCTCAAATTTGAGTCGAAACTGGCAGAAGCAGGCGCTCTCGCCAGACCGCGTCGGGTGTGGTGAAAAGCTCTCGCAAAGCTTGTCCCAAGTATTTAGTCTCCTGTTGCTGCTGCCGACTGTCGACTGCCAACAACCGTTTGTCGCCTATTGCCTGTTCTTTGTTGCCTTGTTGGCCAGCAGCAAAGACTAAAACTTCGCTTTATCATTTGATTCACCTGTAAACTTTTACAATGTGCACTTCCGTCAGCCAAAACAGAATTTTCTTCTTCAGTTTTGCTTGCCATAACTCGCTGTCCATTTCTTTCATTTACGTACATATAACCGTAATGGGATGGGGCTAGTGCTAGGGGTGGGGGTGGGAGTGGGATTGGAGATGTTGGCAACAACTATGCAACAACTATCTTTTTTCAATTTCCCCGCACGGCTACTACCATTTATGGGGCTTGCAGCAGGGGGGAGGTTGATCTAAACTGGCAAGCCCATATACAACGGAAATGGAAGTTCTGTGTGTATCAGTATGTGTGTGTGTGTTTTGTTGTTGTCTTCGTTTTTTACGTGCAAGTGCACAGCAATAATAGCAACACTAACATAACACAGCTCCTTTGAAAGATGAGCAGCAAACACACACACACACACACACTGAGCTACCCTCTGAAAATGCCGTCACATCCACATGGCAGTTCCATGCACTTTATTTTTTGGGTTACTTCTTTTGGCCGGCTGGCTATTGCAAGTGTTGCTTTTTATGGCACTTGATGCCGCGCCAAGCTATTTGATGGGGCTGGGGAATTCCGGGTGGGGGATTAAAGGTGGCGGTGAAGCTTGAAGTAAAGGTGGACACTGGAGCTAGTGGTCAGCTGAGAACTAAAGCGACGGAAGAGATCGTGAGCGTGAAAATAAATAGCCCGTAATTGTGTGAACTGCTAAAGAAAAACTATTCTGCCCGGCACTTTAAAGAAATTGTTTTAAGCAGAAAGACAAACGTATAGAAAAAACAGTCGATTACTCCTAAAATCTCACATTTGGAAATGTTAAACAGAATCTTACTATTTAGGTGCTACTTTTACACCTAAAGAATATTTTACAGAAGAATTCACAATTCTTAAACAACAACTCAGGCAGTTTACGGAAAAATTTAGTTTTAAAACAAACGTAAGGAATAGGCTAAATGAAATTGTCTTCTTAACAGCTCACGCTTCTGAGGAATCCTAACAGAATCACCAATTAGGCACTTTAAAGAAATAGATTTAAGCAAAGGTATAATTTTTCTTCAAGCTTGAACAAAATATATATGTATTTTCGCAAAAATGTGTTTTAAAACAGTGTATTTAATTTTTTTTTTTTAATTTTTTGCCATTTGCAAACTTTACCAGAATATTTAATTTCAACGAAAATATCATTGCACAGAGGATTGTTTTTAAATGTTTTTTCTTTTTTATCACGATGTGGATAGCTTACCAAAAAGCTCACTATTTAGACACTTTCGGAATATACTGGTATTTAGTGTTAACAAAGGGAACTTTTATTATTTAAATTATAAGCTTTAATTCAGTACTTAATTTGTATATTTATTATATTAAGTATTATTTAAAGTATAAGCCTCAGTCCTCAATTGATACACCAAACTTTACTTTTCTATTACAAATTAAAGCTAATTCTTCTGCTCTCACTTCGTCCGATAAGCTAGCGATATTATCAGTTTTATTACGGTTGATTTCATGATTGTTCTTTAAAACTACAATGATATGGCATTACCAATAGATAGTGCTTTATGGATGGATCTAGTTTCTTATATTTTCTGCCTTTTTGGCATGGACAGCTTAGAAGCGACAACGTTTGACCTTCTACATACTACATTACTCCAAATGGTTATCCTTTTGAAAATGTTACTCCCACTTACAAAAGCCTGCCGAAGTGGAAATTCGAAACTTGTTTTAAATTACTTCAATAGCTTTTCATTCCCTCATTTGGTTTTGCAATGTCCCCAGAATTGCCTACGCTCGTAGATTTTTGCTCCATTTAGTGCCATCCCTAGACTTTTGGTCAGTTTGTTTGGTTTGTCGCACGTTAACAGTCCTTTCAGTTTGGTTTTTCACCTTATCCTCTTTTGTGTTGATTTTGTTGGTGTTGGTGTCTCAGGTTTTGCCAGTGGGGTCAGTGTAGGGTTTCATTTGGTTTCCGTTGATAAGAAAGTGCTTTTTAATAGCTGTCGAGATGCCGTACAATGTGGCTGCCTGTCTGTTTGTCTGTTCGTCTGTACTCTAGCCAACATATGCACATGCATACAGATGTGTGTGAAAACTTTGAGGGGACAGCCCATTCCCCATTCTCCTCCTCCCTTTACAGCAACAATCTGTTGAATGGCTCGAAGCTGTGAATAAACAAAGCAGTTAACAAAGTTTCTCTCTCGCCAATTCTCTTTAGATTCAAAGCTACGCTCTTAACTTAATTATTCTCCCAAAGCTTTGTGCGAGCTTTCTTTTTTCTGATATGGCTCGATGATCGTGCCATTCTAAGGTGCTCCATGCGTAGAGCCCAAAGTCGACTTATTGTAGACAAACAACAACCGTCCGTCGCTGTTGATGCTTTTGTTTAAAATAATAAAAATAAAAGATAAAACTTAACAATAGCCATAATAATAGCAATGACGTGAAAGCCAAACGCAAGCTTCGTTACGCGATCGGTTGAATGAAGGGTGCCAAAAGTAATATTTAATCAAGGTCGTCTACATTCCAGTAAAGTATTTACTGTTCAATAAAACAAATACATTTAAAAAGCAAACACAACTTAGTGCAGATAAATAGTGACCGAGTGTGCAAATAATTATTGAATGAATGATCCGTCAGCTGGCAGCAATACAGCTTTCAATTTAATTGCGACACCTGAAAATTGAAACCTTATGGTGTGTAACAGAGGCTGATAAGATAAGAGAAGCCACCTGATAACAGGTACAAGCAAAAATAAAAAATATAAATAAAAGTAAAAAAGGTGAGCAAGAAATTAGCATCGCGAGTGCTAAGATTTTTTTCCAGCTTGCATACATATGTATATCGTACTTGTTTGTGTGTGTGTGAGTGTGAAATTGATATGCAAATCTAGCGACTAACTGTCAAGCTAGTTTTTTACATACATATCCACACATACTTACTTACGTATTTAGATTTTGTAGAGCGAGAAAAATGTGCTCCAAAAAACTAGTGTCATTGCATTGTTTGCGCTTCAGTTGATGCGTGCACCTTCATTTCCACATCATCTTCTTCGCATTGGCTATAGTTATGCATATTAAATATCTAGGTGGAGCCAGCGATTTGCATGCAATATTTAGTACATACGTATATAAGTATAGATGCATGTACTCGTACGAAGTATGTATGTGTTCGAATTACTGACGAATTCAAAATGTTGAAATCTATCTAAAGCGGCTTATAAATTCGGCTCAATCATTTGGCCAACACTAATGCTTCAGCTGCTTAATTGACTGCTTAAACTAATTGCCTGAAGTTAGTCAGAGCTGCTAAGGCTGCCGGCTATGCACAGACAACACACACACACACACACACATATATACTTAATCAATTAATCAACATGTCTAATATTACGCATACGTCTGGTGTGCCCCAAAGGCTTGAACATACCAATACCATTACCTTTAATGCCATCATCAACCAAAGACAACGTGTAAATACTTATAACTACAAGTAGAAAGAAGTGCTAATCAGTACACGCACACAGTAGTCGGCTTTAGTTCTTTGACATTTACAAAAACTAGTGTTTTCTTTTTAATTTGAAATGGAAATTTATATTTGCATTTTTTGAAATGGAAATTAATATTGCAGTGAAATGATTGCAGCTCACAACATTCTAAATGTCTACAAATAGAATAGAATGCTTTTAATTCACAATCTCGATTTCATTTTCATATACTATGTGAATTGTTGAAATAAATACAAAGCTTAGCAATTATTTGTTTGGCAAGTTGGCTTTCCTGTTAAAGGGATTTCTTTTTCTTGTCTGTTTGGATAAAATGCCAGTATTTTTGTTGGCTTATGTAATAGAGCATACCTAAAATACTTGTTTAATAATTCAAAAAAATATGAAGACAAATGTAAAGGTGTTCCAATACTTTCAATTTTAATTTAAAAATTTTTTTAAACAATTGCGAGCATTTATTTTTATGCAACTGATATGATTTTTAAGCAAGTTGGCATTCCCGTAGTTCGCTTAGTTTTTCTCAATTAGGAAATTGTAATTACTCTTCTCAACTATGTATTTGAAACATTTAATTAAAATAAATGAAGGAATTTTCAGGCAAATAGTAAATTTCCGACTGCTAAATAATTCCTTAGTGTTATACTTAACCACATTCCTTGTCATACCATCCCTAGAAAGGTGTGTTAGGCCTAGTGTGTGAATATAAAAGGCATGGGTACACAGCCAAGCTCAACAACTTTGCAGCGTTTCGGTTCGAGTATCAAGCCTCAAACCTGGCCAATTGCGTAATTATCATAAATACACACACACACACGCACACATTCGGCAAAGTTTTTTGTTGATTCAAAGAATTTTTGATATACGCAAATAGGCAAACAAACCATTGCGTCGCGTCGGTTGTAATTACATATCTGTCTGTGACTTGATTATGTCAATTAAGTGTAGTTTGCACGAATCTCACCATAACTCCAACTTGCAGACAGTTACTATATAATTATATAGCAAATAAATTTAGCCTTCACTGCTCTTGAATAGTAAGTGAGTTTAAAAAAGACTGCATTCGTAACTAGCTTTTCAAAAGCAATTTATAATAATAATAATTATTTACCTTGGTAAAACACATAAGTGTGTGCAAACAAATTTTCAGGTGATTTAAAAGAGTTGGAAAGATTTTTTATGCCAGCATAAAATACTTATTATAAGCATTAGTCCATTTGTACAGAATTAGATTTATTACAAATTGTTGTTCACAATAATATGAACATTAATTATTACTATTTACTGATTAAATTGAAATTTATGTTTAATGCTCTTTATCTGTAGCTTTAAGTTTAAGACATTCTTTCACATTTGCAGCTTTATTTAAAATCAATGCCGAAAAGTATTAGTACTAGGTACTAGTGTTTGCTCATTTAATTAGTTTCAGTTCAGAAGTTTTAGAAATAGTTTGTCTGCCTATACTGTGCTTGGCCAAGAAATTGAGATAAACGTGAGCCAATAGTGGCACTAGAAATTATCAAGTGCTGATATATTTAATCGAAGTCATCTAGAAACAACTAGACAACTAAACAACCATTAGACAGTTCTAGGCGATGAGGTCCAAAATTGAAATTGTATATATTCCTAAATGATATTTTTTAATGAGCTACGAGATTGACAGTGGGGATTGGTATTTGCTGTTAATATCACCATCTCTATCTCGTGGAAGGAGAAAGAATTTTTGAAAACTATATAGAATTAAAAAACTGATGACCTTAGCCAGCAGTAGACAAAACTGTCAGCGCACTGATGGCTTCAAATTGATAAGCATTACTTAGCATTATATTATTATAGTCAGAGCCTGGTGTGGACCAAAGCTGCGTGCATCCACTACAATCCACTAATCTAACTATCTGATAAAAATGCATGATTTCCAGCATAATTGGCTGCTTATATCAATCTATTCTTCAAGTCAACACTTTAAAATCATCTCGTCGTATCTCAATTGTTTGTAAGGGAACTTGCAAGCGTTTTGTATAAATATTTCTTTATATTCATGCGCTCTTATTCACAATTCATGAGTCTTGTAAGCAATCGCTCACTTTAGCTTGTACTTGGTATTTTTGCTCACACACATATATACACACACGCACAAACACAATACATAAACAGACAAGCCAGTTATCCTGCAGCAGAGTCAGCTGCATTGCGACATTGCGCATACGCCACATATGCCGGCTAGGAAGAAAACTTTTCTAGCTGGCTGGCAATGCATTAATATGTTCATTTCAACATAAACCCAGCGATGCCTTTAACTTTTCGCTTAATACGAATATCAAGCGTATGGAATAATATTTAAATTTATGACATCGACAAACTTATGGACAAACTTTCAACGACAGCTGCAAATCTTTGCCGATTTTAAACCGAGAACGCCAAACCCTTCAAAATACTACACATACATATATATATATAGTATTTTCAGCACAATATATGCGACCATATGCATACACTACACACTGATAGAAAACTTTAGTTAAGTAGAAATATAAATTTGATAAAAATTTGTCTTAAAACTATTTGAATTTTGTATGATTTACTTTCGAATTAAATAATCAGACATTTAAAATTTTAAAGATGCTCAAAGAAATCGCTTATTCTAATACAAGGAATTGCGAAAAGAAAACAAATAATCACAGTATGTAAATTTTTTATTAAAACTATAACAATTCCCGCCATGGGAGTTGCCATCTAATGCATGTTCGGATAAGCAATTACAGTGAAAACTCCCTTGGCCGGACACTCACGTTCGGCCAATTTTTGTCCATCCAAGGGGAGTGTCCGCTTAAGGGGATACTTAAATACTTTACACCCCGATCGAATGTGTTTAGAAAAAGTGTCCGCCGAAGAGAGTGTCCGGATAAAAGAGGTGTCCATTAAGGGAGTTTTCACTGTATTGTGATAAGAGATGGTCTGAGTCAGCATTATAATGAAATCTCAGCTTAAAAATGTTTGACTTCCTCTCAAATAACAATGTCGATGCATTGAATTGAAGCTTTTTTATATCTCCTAAATATTACTTACTTTTTATCCAGGAGAATGCATTAAATTGAAGCTTTTTATATCTCCTAAATATTTACTTTTTACCAAGGAGAATTATAAAAGAGAAAGCCATGACAGTCTTCAGCACAATCTTATTGGCAATTAAAGTATTTGATTGTACATGAAAAACAACACAAGCTCTAACTGTTGAGAGTGAATTTCCTATATAGGACCACTAACTACTTTTTAGCAAGATGTTTGTAGGTCCCCCCCACTTTTTCTGACAGTGTACTTTACAGCTCGCTTACTATGAATTTTCAGGGCGCACATACTATCGCAGCAGCTTTCAATATTCGCACAGCTTTGAGCTTACTTTTTCCATTTCCCAGTGTCATTTTTAAAAATTGATTTATAGCCAATAGTGCGTGGCGTTGTTTGGGCTGAAGTTGTTGTTGTAGCTGTTGCTACTACTATTCCTGTTGTTGTCACTGCCGGTCGAAGCGACCAAATTCCCACTGTTCGACATTGAGGCGCAGACAAAACTTTTAAATTGTAATAACTATATATGTATGTATGGAAATAAAAAATAGAATTGAAAATTGAAGCTCCTGTTTCTGTCACTGGCGTGCTTTAAACAATAAATTACGCAATTGTTGTCAAAACGCTTCGACCCACGTAAAATGAGACGTCAATTAAAACGTATCAAACGCATACGCAATGCCACAGGCAGCATACTTATACACATACATACAAGCATATAAATACATATATGTAGATGTATCTATGTATTGAGCAACTATAGCAACAACACGATGGGTGGCCAAGAGCGGCAAAAACAGCGAAAACAACAAAAAAAGAGCAATAACAGGCATTTACAAAAGCAATTGCTCATTTTTGCACATTTTGCGCCATAAAATTTTTCACTCATGAATAAAAGAAGAATCGCTTGGCCCACTCGCTGTTCGGATTCGGTGGGTTGGTGGGCTGGTAGGGTTGCTGATTAGTGACGGGGGCGTGACCGAAAGTAGTTTCATGTGCAGCATAATCACGAAATATACAACTTCCTAAAACTATCAATTACTCGTAATACTTGTAGTACATTAGAGTTTTGTTGGCCCGGTCCCAGCTAGTGCTAGAGACTATTTCGTTAGCAGAAACTAAAAAACTACGTCTCTGGGCTTAGTTCCCTTACTTCGAATGTAGAACGAAATGGGTAGACGGAAGTAATTTGCAGAATTTTCAAAAATCTCAAACTA